ACTTTATATGTGGGACACCTGCCTCAGCATGGCCTGCCAAGTGGTGCCATGTCTGCACCCGGGATTCGAACCAGCGAACCCTGGGCTGCCGAAGCAGAACGTGCAAATTTAACCGCTGCCCCACTGGGCCGGCCCCTATTGTTTTATAAAAATATTCAATTTTTATTGTCAAACATCAAGCAAATAATATATTACTAACAAATTTCCTTGATCCATGGTAAATATTAAAAAAAAAACTAAGTTCTTAGCCTCAAGGAGCTTACAATTTTGGAGGAAAGGCATGAGTCAGGCATGCAATCAGTATGCATATGGAAACTTAACTATACAAATGAAATGTTTAGGTTTGCTGTACAATTTGGAAATTTTATTACTGCTCAGGGAGAGGAAAGCAAAACAGGAAAACTTACAGAGGAGCTAGACCTTTTACCACATGTGAACAAATGACCTGGTTGGCAAAAAGGCAAGAAGGATGGAGTGTTGTCCAATCCTACAGGGAAAACTGTGGAAAGGTTTTACACAGATGGGTCAGGATCTAGGTGTTCAAGAACAGAAGTCTGCCCAAACATCGATGAGATTATTCCTTTTAACTATAGGGTTAATTTAGCTACTGAGTAAGGTTCATGTTTTGCTCTAGTGAAATACATTATAATGCCAAGAGTTTTAAATTAATTCAATTCAGTTAATAAGAAGGCATATATGTCTTGAGTTAATCATTGGAATATAAAATGCAGACTTATTTAGATAAACAGATGTGAGCAAATGGGAGGAATCATGCTTCACACATTATCTCAGTTGTTCTCAATGGGGGTGAATTTTGCACCCCAAAGGACATTTACAGTGTCTAGAGACAATTTTGGTTGTTTCACCTGGTGACGGGGTAGGGAAGGGGTTCTACTGTCATCTAGTAGGTAAAGGTGAGGGGTGCTGCTGAAATACTAAAATGCACAGGAGAGGCCCACGAGAAAACATTATTGGGCTGACATTTTGGAATGTCAGTAGTGCTGAGGTTGGGAAACCCTATTGTATCCTGTGCTTATGGATCCACAACACCAATTAGCATGTAAAAGGATCCAGACTCCTGCAGTGAAATAAATAAATAAAAATTTATTTAATACTTGTAAACAGAGGATCTCATCAGATTATTTTATCATGAACCCTGACAATATATTAGATGTATTGGGTAAAACATATTGAATAAAATAAAAATATACTATTAAAAATAATTTTACCTCTTTCTTTTTATTTTTTAATATCACTGCTAGAAAATATAAAATCACATGTGTGGCTCATGTTATATTTCTGTTGGACAGTGATGATCTATACTATTTCTTCTTTTCAATAACATAAAATATTCCATTTCCTATAAAATGTTGAAATCCTTCTTTTAACCAATGGCAATTGATACTTTACTCCTCTGTCCCTCTCTATCTTCGACTATTATACTGTAGTTTAGTATTTAACTGCTAGTCATAGGTAGGCTACATAGATTGTTTTTGGATTTATTATCCAATCTCTGTATATGCAAGAGAATACCTCTCCTACCACTCAGATGTTTAAAGTCAGATTTAGAGTGTTTTATCAGCTATTGAAATCATTGATATATTTATTCTTTGAGAAAATTCTTGACTTTATACTTGCTCCAAATCCTAATTTTGAAGTAACTAAAAGGAATAGAATATCAAGGTCGAAACAGATGAGAATGTCATTTGAGAATATCCACTTGTCATGCAAGGATGTGGCTGTCGATGAGAATATGTCAGTCATTCAAGGAAAATCCCTACCTACAAATTTGGTTAAGTAGTTAGCATCACTTCTTAAAATTTTGGAGGCATAATGGATTGCAATAAGGGCTTATGTAGTATATGGAGGAATGCTGAATATTTAAGTCACAAAAGTTAAGGAAGAACTCACAATACTTCTAGTACTTCTAAACAGGAAAGTCCCAAATCTTCCAAAGTCAGTAAGTCATGGAGGAAGAAGAGTGTGAGCAAAAGTAGAATCTAAGATCCCCTGTTTCTGTGTGCGGCAATTTAAATCTTGCTCAGGCTGTGCTTGCAGGCAGGCCAGGCAGAGCACACAGGTGCCACTGGGTCCCAGTTACAGCAGGGACCACTCCTGGGCTCTCAAGAGGATCTAGCAGATGGCATTTGCATGGTAGCAGGGGATGCTTCTTGTTTTGAAGGGCTATTTTTGATACTCTTTTTCTCCCAGCCCCCCACCTCCCCTAACACAGGAGTGACAGGGATGCCACATTAGTCAAGGCAGGACAAGGTCAGGGCTTGGCCCAGGATCTGGTTGTGGGAATACGAAAAAGGAAGTGGCTAAAATTAGTAAGGACTGAATGTGTGCCTGTGTTGTGAAGAAAGGGGAGACAACAGGAGGAGCAACTCCAGATCCATATGCTTGTGTTGTTCTGGAGGAAGAAGTAAGAATATAACTCCGCCCAGGGGGGGAGAGGGGGTCTTCGGGAGTGGATATCACAGTTTTCTTCCCTTTATTTTCAGACCTGTCTGCTAATCTCATTGCATTGTTTTCTCCCCAACTCTTCCAATTTGGAATCCTTTGTAAATATGCTATAATATTTCATGCATTAGCTCACTATGTTTAAAAAATAACCCTGGATAATATTTACAAGATGGAATTGGGAACACACCAGTTTGTGCCTCTATGTAGAAAAGTAGGCAAGAGATTCAGTCAGAGAAATGCAAGGATAGATTTGTCTCTAACATCTTTGCCTTCTTAAATATCAGTTACTAATTTGCACAATCAGACATCCAACAATGGCTTTCGCTCTTCTTGTGATGGTTGATGTATTTTATTTAATTTCAAATATTAATTATTTGGGGAAACTGTGCATCCTGATATATGAATATCCATAACAATGTGATGGAAATAGGAAATCAAGAATATAATTACATTACAGCTTACAAAATACCATAATATTTTAAATTTTTTTGGTTTCCTCTGAGCTCCTGTTTAGAAATAAAACAGTTAATGTGTTGTTTTATATCGAATGAACATTAGAAAATCAGAATTGTGTTTCTTTTATTAAGAAAATAATACATATTGTACTCAGTATATCTGGTTTTCTTTGATTTGATTTGTAGAGTTTTAGAAAAGAATAAAATGAAACAAGTTTTGAAGAAGAGGTCATTGAAACAGATGTTACCTACCATAAAATGTTTAATATTTTCTTGAATTCTTATGGCATTTGTCATTCAAATGGAATAAGTATAGGATTCATACAGTATGTGTGGATTTCAAAATATGTAATTGTCATTCAAATGGAATAAGTTTAGGATTCATAGGGGATGTGAGGCTTTCAAAAGATGTAGCGTTTCTTTACTCTTGCAGCAAGAAGTGCATACCTTTCAAAAGGATGTTTAAAGTTAGGCAACAGCTTACTAAATATGAAGACAAAACCAGTTTTTGTTGCAAGGGGTAAAATGTGGGCAGAGATTTTTGATAAATGTCAGAGTGAAATGTTAATTCTAATTGTTCCCGTCGAGTTGTCCTTGATTTGTGACAGATTTGTTACTATGCAGATTTCCTAGCTGCCACCACCCATGTGGGGATTTCACCCTGTGAAGTTACCCAGATACGCCCTCTTCTCCATCTCACCTCTTTATTCCTAATTAGCTTGTCCCTGGGTTCTCTCAGAGTAGCATTATGGTTGTCCTGAAGTGTTTTTGATTCTGACCCACTGACAAATTAAGCCATCTAATGTTTAGCGAAAATACAAATTTAAGTCACAGAAATGGTAAAGCCTTATAGGCGGCATCCTAGAGTTATACTGACTCGACAGTCACTGACTTCCATCCTACTCACCCCGTCCACTTTCTGGAGGTGCTGCAAGCACAGCATATGTGTAAACTCACTTAAGGTTTTGGCTTTTGTGTTTTAAGTTCTCATTGTAGCCCCTGAGTGCCTTTTTCTACAAGTAATAATAGCACCAGGGGCAGGCAGAGCAATCCAGTTGTCAGTATGCAAAGAAATTTAGCAGGTCTCTGAAAAAGCAGACACAGGGAAACTGGAGAGAGGAGGAAACAACCATGGAAAGATAGGTCTGGCACAGGCGCCAACAGCCTGTCCCCTTACTTAGGCCAGCAACATTCAGACTAACCCAGAATCACGCTTTCAGTCTCCCTCCTTGCTCCCAAACTCTGCCTAACGTGCAACTTATCAGGAAGGTTTCAACTGCTTTTCATAGTTGAAGTAAGTAAATAGTAAGAAAAAGTGAAAAAGGGACGAAGAAAGGCAACTAACGCTCACTAAGCCTTTCTGTGTGTCCTTTGAGTTGCCTCCTTCTTTAACTCCACATCATCCCTACAGAAACCCAGAGAATTGGAGGACTTGTTCAAGCTTACACGGTAATTAACAGAGTCAGAATTTTAACCCAAGTCTGTCTCTAGTATGCATCCTCTTTCCTCCACGCTCTTTCTGGGTGGATTTTGGGAAAACTCTATCTATAGGATATCGCACATCCTTGGGAATCTAGAATGTCCTTGGACACCTAATGGATGTTCCCCATCCATTTTCATATGTCAACTAGGCATGCTATTGTGAGAGATACCTTTATACACAAATTACCCAGGGTTCTGTCTTCCCAGGATGAGAAGACTAGTTGGAATTGATTCTGATTTTTTTAAAATTGCAATTTTGAAACAGTATTGCATTTTCTGTTAGGCAAAATATGCAATATATATATATAATATATATTATATTATATTATATATATATATAATATATCTAAGAGCTGCTAATAAAATCGTTTATCCTTAAGAAACTGTCTTCAGGGGCCTGTCCAGTGACATAGCAGTTAAGTTCTTGCATTCCACTTTGGTAGCCTGAGTTCACTGATTCAGATCCCAGGTGCAGACCTATGCACTGCTTATGAAGCCATGCTGTGGCAAACATCCCTCATATAAAGTAGAGGAAGGTGGGTGTGGATGTTAGCTCAGGGCCAATCTTTCTCAGCAAAAAAGAGGAGGATTGGTGGCAGATGTTAGCTCAGGGCTAATCTTCCTCAAGAAAAAAGTAAAGAAAAGAAAAGGAAAAAAAAAGAAACTGTCTTCATCTAAAACTACATGTAAATACTAATCAGTTGAGTTTCGTAGTACTAGTGTACAGTAAATGGATATTTTTTTAAAAGCAGATGGCATTACAGCATAAATTTCTGTGATAAATAAGAAAATTAAAAAATACCTTTTGGCATGCCAGATCCAATTGTGTTAAACACATGGATTCATTATTCTTTTAAATGTCTCAAAGGACTAGAATGATAGGCCAAACCTGGGAGAAAGTCTAATTATCCCACAGGATTGGGGTTTTTTGGTTTGGTTTTGCTTTGCTTTGTTTAAGGGGAAAAGAAAAAAGCACTATGCCATGGTTCTTTTCAAAAACATTTCTATATATTGAGGTGTATTGATCCTGATATGAATTTTGTAGAAACGTAAGTATAACAATTGTTAAAATTTTTTATTACGTTCTGTATCTGTCTACCTGAAATGGATTTCAGAAATGAGGGACATGATAGTGGTATAAGGTAGCAGTAAGTGCCCCAGTGAATCATTCCTTCCTATATACATGCCCTCAAGTAGTTCCTTCCCATAGTAGCTCTGAGCTTGGCCATGTCATGTGCTTTGACCAATGAGGTAATAAACAGCAAATGTGACAGAAGCAGACACTTGAAAAGTGCTTGCCCACTGGATCATGCCCCTTCTGCTTCTTGAGAACCCTTGTGCTACACTGTATGAGCACACCAGGGATAGCCCCCTGGAGATGAGCGATGATGTGGAGAGGGGCCCCAGCATTTCCTGCCATGCCAGCTTTCCCAGAGGAAAGGTGAGGGAGCCCATCCTAGACCCTTCAGCCCGAGCTGAGCTGGCTTTAGAACAGAAGAACCACCAGCTGATCAGCAGATTCATGAGAAATGATACATGTTTATTGTTGTAAGCCGCTGTGTTTTAAGCTGGTTTGCCACAGAGCAAAAGTTAACCAACACAATCTCGTTGCTCCAAAAATGTAAATATAAATCCAACTAAGACTTAGAGTGATTGAAAACTGTTACCAGCTCACAGAGCTAAGAGACAGCCTCACTCCTGATCTCATCTTGATAAACAGATTAGCCATCTCAGTTGCTTTTGGGAAACTGAATTCTAGAAAGGCAATCCCACTGTCGCCAATCTTTATGCAAAAGGTTGTAGGGGACAATGAGGGCTTTCAGGGGGTGTCAAGACAATAAAGACAAGGCAGCTCATTCATAAGACTCCTATGTGTTTCACAGAAATCCAAAGACTTCAAAAATTCTCTCTGTCTGTCAATCTCTCAATCTCTCTTTGTCTCTCACCCTCTCTCTCTCTTTGTCTCTCTCTCTCTCACATGCACACACACACACACACACACAGGGCAGTGCGAGTAGAGGAAACATTCAAATTCACTAATTGTTCTGACCTCACAACTTTCAGAACTGTACCTCTCCAAAAAGGGGACATTTTTTCTTCTTCTTGTAACTTCTAATGCCAGGACAAGCTTGCCCATTACGCTATCACCATAGTCTATGAGATTTATTTTCTCAAATAGGTATTCCTTTTAAGATATTCTGGCTAGTTCCAGAAAAACATGGTCTTGAAGAATATTTAGTAACAAACAATGGTAAAATGTATATATGAAAAAAACACTTTAAAATATTGCACATTTAATATTAATTCAATTTGTAAGAATTCTATATGTTTTATGTATAAAATAAGCAAAAAAAAGGACTTTAAAGAAAATGTGCCCAAATGGTAAAGGACTTTATGGAATTATAGGAGATTTTTATTTTCTCTTTTAATCCTCAGTAGTAGTGAAATATATATAAAATAGCATAAACTGGAAATCATTGGGGGAATATCATAGTATATAAAATAATATTCTAAGAACCATTTGGGGGAAAAAAATCAAGAAATTTAGGTCAAGACATAGATAGTGGACATCCCCAGGAGTGAGTGAATGGGTGTACATTACAGTAGTAAAAGTGTGTACAGATTTTGTATAAATAAATAAATAGATAGATAGAATTGCATGCCATACCAGTATTTCTAAATTTTGTAATCATGTTCTTCTACACTAATTCTTTTTTAATACACACTTCTTACTTGCATTAAGAATCCCTCACTGGAAACACAGCAGATTGTTTCACGGTTCTCACTAGTATTCCACATTGCTTCTGTCCCCCTCCTACTCCATCTCTCTCTCTTTTAAGATTCTAATGCACAGAGAAGGTAAGAAATTATTTAAAAGCAACTCACTCACTCTTTGGAATGTTTGGAAATGTTGTCCATTACTCAGACTTCCAGTCTAAGCCAGTACCCTAGAATTACATCCATGCAGTCCCCCGCTATTGTCTATACTTAAAGCAGAATACTTAAAATATAATGGTATCGAGAAATGCAATTTTAAAATAAGGCATGAATCAGAAGTCTGGGGTCTCAGTGGTTGCCCCAGATGACACAGTTACAGGACAGAATCTCCAGGTTTGAGATTCCTCGATCACTGCAGTGCCACGCATTTGTGTGTGCTTTTTAGGTCCTGTAAAGGAACAGATACTGAAGGTGAATTCATGTGCACTGTCAAAAAGTAATCCTCCCCAAAGGTATAAATCGGAAATTTATTTTTTCCCAGCAGATAGGATGACTGTATGAAACTTGTTGCTAACCTTTTCAGCCTTACTATATGACAGAGTGTACCCTTTCTTGCTGAAATATTTTGCAAACAAAATGTGATTTGAATTTTTAACAACTAATGTGATGCAAGAATAATGAATATTGTAACAGAAAAACCAGAGAAATCAGAGTTGCCTCCTCCCTGAATGCAATATCCACCTATTACTGACCACTGTGACCTTTCTGGGAAAAGTCACTTCCATTGGATAGGGCAGTGGCCGCAAGGCAGCAAAACGCCACTCGGAGTAATTCTTTACAGATGCCAGGAACCGGAAGTTTCAAGGGGAAAAATGAAAGCCATTCACTCTTCCAATGACATAGGCCTTTGATACCACAAAGCCATTTGGGCTGAGAGCTCCAAGGTCAGGAAGCCACGTAAAGATTGGTGATTAGAGAAATACTATATCAGCAAAGTGTGGCAAGCTATTAAAAGAAACTATAGCTTTTATGATTGTGTCGCTGAAGCTCCCCAGGGCTATTTGTATTAGATATTGAGTTAAGCATAACTTATTTAGTCCCAGCATTCCAGAAAACATTTTGATGTCAGCTACTGCAGGAAAGTAAACACAAAGCAAAGGAGGAAACAGAGCTGATCTCGAACAGATAAAAATGGCGTAATTTAATTTTCTGAACCCGGGCGTTTTAGAGCATTAAGAATGAGGAATTTTAGAAAGATCCTTTCAACTTGAAAAATAAAGTTTATTTAGGCATTTGGTGGAGGGGGAGAGATGGAGCACAGGGCTTACATTATCAACTCGTTGAGCATATATTAATTTCTGATCAAAAAATATTTTTGATGTATTTAGTGAAACATTCCCAAGGTTATATCTGCATTTATGATGATGGATAAATTTCCCTTCTGCTCCCATGACTTAATAATCACATAATTTTTGTTCATGCATCTTCTCCTAGTGGGTCTAATTTTAGCATTATTCATGATCTCATTGGTTTATGAGATGTTTAGTGTTCACTCATACACTTCCACAACTACTATCAAAATTCTTTTTTTAAGACAAGGCTTTAACACTGACCACACTAACCAGGTGATATACAACCCTAAAATGAAAATGTGGGCAGTGATGAGCACACCAAAAAATCTGTTTACTTCCATTTGAACCAGAGAAAGGAATGCTTGAACTCTGAACTCTTGGCTCATGCCCGGATCCCTGAGAGAGCTTTCCTCACAGGTCCTATGAAGACAGAGCCAAACTTGGCGACTCGGGACAGATAATAGACATGTGAACACATTAGGAATATCACTGTCTAGAAAGTTAGCTACTTTAAAAAGTCTTAATATAGATGGCACTGCAGTTGAAAGGAGTTGGAGGGGGTCAGTGTTTTTACCTAAAACTTTAGACGTTACCCAAAGGAAGAAATATTTGCCATCTTTGCAAAACAGCAAGGTAATTATAGAGAGAGAAAGAAGGAAATATGTAAAAATGTTAACAGTGCTAGCCTGTAGGTGGTGGGATTATGGGTGATTTTTCACCTGCTTTTTAAGCTTCTCTGCTTTTGCCAAATTTTCTGCAAAGGCTATGTACTCTTTCTGATTAAACAATAAAAGAGGAGGAAGATACACAAATGAGTAGGAAAGCACGTAGGCCTTTTTAATGTAAAAGACATGCGATGATCCCATCCTTCATGGGCTAGGCCTTGCCATGTGAACATCTGCCTTGACATAAACTCAGAAAAGCTGCTCCAGGATTTACTGGCTGCTGAAGGGAAACTGCTGGACTGTTTTTAGAAGGACATTCTTACAAGATAGGCATTTGGGATTTTGATTTCATTCCTCAGACAGTCTTTTACTCTTAGCCCAACTCTGAACACTTGCATTTGTGTCTTCACTTGCAAAGGAACTCTCCTGGTTTCTTTTTTTCATTTCTCCTCAAAAAGTTGTTTTTGTTTGTTTGTTTGTGGGAAACTGGTAACTCCAACAAATATTTTGTAATCACATCTCTTGCTCAAGGCTGATGATGTTCAATGAGCATGTGATGATTCTTATTGCCACTATCCATTCAGTTTGATCACTGCCGTGCCAAATGGTTGTTAAATATTGTGAATACCATCAGTAAATCTACAGCCATACAATTCCCCATTCAGGTAATAATAAGAATGATCTCAGGTTAATCACAGTAGCTGTTATATTATATAATATGTTCTATTATACTATGTAATAAATACAATGTACAATTATTATATAGTTATATAAATATGCAACTATAATAGAGTTTTATATTTTTTGGTGGTTTAAGATAATTTATAATTTCACAGCCAATCTTTTTCAGTGATTAGTTTGAAATAAAAATCTGTTTGGTTTAAAGAAGTTATCACTTTGGAATACTGTGTAAACATATCTAGTGAATGGTCACTACCTGATTGAAAATACTAAAGAAAAGACAAAAATGATATTAAAAGCAAAAGCATTCTATCACATTTTAAATGTATGTTACCTAAAGCAGTATAGTGTTAGGGGAAAAGATATTACAGATTTTAACTTTCAAAAATAAAGTAACAGTTTGAGTGTACTCAGCAAAATAGTCACATGTGAAATAGGCACAGAAACATTTTACCAACTAGGTACAGTATATGCAAGATACCATCAAGAAGATAAATAAAAATATGAGAGAAAACTGAGACATTATTCTTTAGGTAACTGATTTTTCTCAAGAAAAGGAAAAATTCTTAAAGGTGTGCTTTTTGGTTGTTGTTAAAGAAAGTTCAGGTGAGGATAAGTTCCTGTTGGACAGTCATAAACCACCCATTCATTCTAAATTCAGTATACTAAGGAACACAAACCTGACATCAAGGTAAAAATAAATCCTGTATCTCTAACGCTGGCAACATTTTGAAAACACCAGTGAGATTATCGAGCAAACTGTCTGTTCATTCTTTCACCGTTGCTTTCTAAGTTCTGTTCTGGTCATTGAAAGTGTCAGTAGGCTGTATAACAGGCTCCTTCTGTGTATTTCAAGGGAAGCCTACACTCTTTCAAAATCAATCTACTAAATGCTGAGTAAACATGGACTGTGTCATGTAAACACAATCCTTACCTACTGTTGAGTTTTTATGTCCATGTTATTTGGTAAATAGCATGGCAGAAAAGACAGGGAACACACACTTCCTCCATGATTCCAGTCTTTCCTCCATGTGCATTATTTCATGTTCCCTCCCCAGAGAGTCCAGGTATGGACATAACATGGTTCTTTTCTAACTTGAGTGGTAGCCCAAGGTACATCTGCAGAAGTAATTGCTAATGGTGCCATCATTTTTGCCCTGTCAGCCTAAGATCCACTTGATCAGTTGTAAGACTGAGTTTTCTCAAGTCACCTTGGTTCTAGAGATCTAGTTCCAAGAAGTACTAAAGCGCATGACTTCAATTGTTTAGAATAATACTTATGCCTCACTTATGTCCTTGCTAATTCCATACAGCAACCTTCAAACTAAATACTATTTGACTTCCTTAGATAAAGCATCAGGAAAGCTTAGGGTTTTAATAAAAATAAAAACAAAATGTCACTCCCATGCCTATGTAAATTAGAGAAACAAGGAGTAGAAGGGAGGAAATATCGAACACATTTTCTTTTATTAATACTTCCAAATAGCAGAGAAACTCTCCCGGAGGATATGGCCTCTTTGAAGATAACGTTCCATTTGCATAAACTGAAGGGGCCTCTTTAATGCAGTTTTCATTATCTTGACTCCAAAGTGACTGATGTCAAGATCAAGGGAGTCAATCAGGGCAGATACACTCCAGGACACCACTGAGAAATAAATCAGCCTATCCTCTCCACACAGGAGAGTCCTGCTCCACGAAGGGGATTTGTGAATCCCCTTTCTGAAGCAGGAGGCCAAGTTCCATTATTGCGAGGACTGACTCTCATCCCTTAGAAGTCTCTCATTCTTTACGTTAATTGAGGTCCCCTGCTTCAGTTATCTAATAGGCTAATGAAGTTTGGAGATAAACCAGTTCTTGACCATCTCTTGCCCTCTGAACACTCCCAGGACACTAACCCATTCAGCCTTTTATCTCATTATGTTAAAGAGAGAAAATTAACTCTGAAGAAAATGAGATAACAGCCGCTTGGGTGTTAGGTGAATGTGGTATGGATCTTCTGTGAGAAGGGAGGGACAAAGAAAGGAAGAGAAATCACCACATTCGTTAGATCCTACGTGACAATAAACCCTTTGCCCACCTCAGCCATTTTCTCCCATCTACAACTGCATTTTGGCCATGGAGTGTCTGTCCATTGGCCTTTTTGTTTTTTTCAGACTCTGTCATCCAACTTGTTGCATGATGCAGCAGGTCTGCCCAGTCATCATAGGTGTGGGCGAATTAAAAATGTCATCGTTTGGTCTTTATTTCACAACCTTGACTTAGTGCTGTTTTCACTTGCAAAATACAAATGTGAAAACTATAATTTATTATGGTACTAGCAATTCAAGATGTTTTGCTTGGATCCTGTGTGCGCAATCGGTTACCAACATTCCAGCCTGTTTTGCTTTAGTTGGCTACTAGTTGACTACCCTCAATTTCATTCTCTAAATCTGCGTTTAAAAACAATTTAACAACACTTTGATTCTGTTTGGAAATGCAGTTATGAGTTCCTCTCACTAATGCACAGCAACTTTTAAATGTGGTTTGTAAAATGGCATTTTAAGGTAGATGACAAGATGCAAATGACTTATTCAGTGATTCTTTCATTTTACACATACTGTTTGACTAGAGTAAATATGAGAGGCTGGGTCACTTCAGGAGGACGTGAAGAGGTTATTTCAACTACAGACATTGGAGTGGCCCCGAAATCCCTGTCTCCTTGGAGTCGTGAAACACTTAGCTAGAAGAAATCAGCCTTGCTGCTCTGTGAGCAGCCCCTGCTGGACAACTGACCAGTCTGTGCTGCTCCCAGACTAGAAGCATCTATTCTTTCTCCTCTCTCCTCTCTATGGTGGGGGAAGGAGGAGCAGGGGCGATTTTTTACTTTTCTCTTTAAAAGTAAATTTTTATTTTCTTTTCTAGCATTCAATATTTAGTTGAAAGAAGTAACACTATATACTCTTATAAAGACATATTGACCTTCTTAAGGTATGTATAGTATTGTGTTTACTCAATAATTCAATTAAAACTCTGAAAAGTAATCTATTCTCCCATTCAAGTATGTTTTCTGTACATAATAATCAAAGAATGTCATTAGTTTTAATAAATGTAAATCAGAATTCTAATAACTATTAGAAAAATGTTGCAATTGACTAAATAGAAAAATAGAAGTAAAGATATTTTTCTTTGATTTGGTTTTCTCTCCTTTTAACAAATGTGTCAGATATGACCCTTATCTCAATTTATTGTTTCCTATGGGTCCCAGGGCTTTAATAATATTTAAGTTGATCCAGTTTTCATTCTCAGCTACTATTTGAAAATAAATTACTTTGTGTGTTATGTATATTTTACCACAATGAAAAAATTTAAAAGCCACGGAAAATCAGTATACAAAACAAAACATCACATTCAAAATGTATTTATCACCAGTTAATGAATTTGGCTATTTTCTTTCCCTGCAAACATCTGACTATAATGTAGGACTTTTTTCTCCAAAAAGTTGTAGAACAAAATAAATGTATTACTTACCAGTACTCAAGTGATGCACTTCCCATTTTAAGATAAAGTATAAGTAGGTACTTTTTTAAATTGTTTGCAAAAGATACCATATTGTCAGCTTGGATGCTTAGGTGCCCTTTTTACATATACAGAAAGCAACCAAACTTTGCACACCATGTTGAGAAAGTATTATATACTAACCAGATCTCCATTTGTTTTTCGTGGCCCAGAAAAATCTAAGGAGGTATTAACAAGGAATGCCAAACTTGGTCTAAGATAAATGGACTTAGACCCAAATCTTCCTTTTCCCGCATGCCACAAAAAAGTTAAGAGAGATGGTTTATTATAGGTTATATTTCACTTCAGTTATATGTTACCTAAAAACTAGGATGTGAGGAGCTAAATATCCTAGGTCAATGTGTTATAAAGTATGTTCAGTAGAACAGTTAACATTTGAAAAATGTCATGGTCATATTTTTAATGTCAGGTCAAACAACATAATAAGTTGCTTTGTTGCAGGACTTCTCAGAACCATTAATTTCCTAAAGTACATTGGATGTCTCCAAAAAGCTTACATAGAATGCCAAGTTTCCAAAATTCATCAGACCAGAGAACCTCTCTCTGGACTGATATTTCAAAGAACACAGTTTGGAAAATCCTCTCTGAAGTCATCCAGTCATCCAGCCTTTTTACTTCCTGAGCTCTTAAGGAAATTGGTACTTCATTCCTTTCCAACCTCCAGTTACTGCCCTGACCCACCAGCTCTGTGAATGGACCTGAAATAATGCTCTCTCTTCTAAAGTTCACCGTTGACCTTGGGAGATCGATGTTATCAAGTCCCATGTCATAGAGAAGGAACTTGAGACTCAGAGCCTAAGAGATCTCAAAACAAGTGAGTGGCTGAGCCAGGACTCAAACACAGATGTGTACAAGATGTCCTTGCTGCAACATCCACCCTCTTTCCCTTACACCATGTTGCACAAACTGTTCTCTTTTGGTAAAACTCTTCAGTGGCTTCTCTGATATGTCTAGGTCATGAAACTTCATCAGGATTGAGATAGTCTACCCTGCACTGGCGATCTTGATGATTGGATCTTTTACCATTGCAGACTACACTAATTGTTAACTTGAATTCTCTCTAGCCTAGAAAAATTAGCACATTTGATGCTAATTTTATTTAGAACACGATGCATTCTAAAGGACTACCATTTATAACACACAGCGTATGATGGAAAATGCATACATGGTAAAATACTAATCAAAGATAAATTTGGAAACAACCAGAATAAATTTATGTTGAAGAGCAGTTAGAAATCAGCATTCGTGTAGAGGTAATCTTTGTTTTCTTCTTCTTTACCTACAGGCCAAATACTACCAAGCCAGAAACTACCAACAAACTCCTCTGTCTCACAGTAACAAGATATTAATAGCCCATGGAGAAATCAACGTATAATTTAGTTTCTGTTCACTTCAGTCCCTCTACTCTTTAGTACTAAAATGAATATAAGATCAGAAAGGGCGGTACAAAATAACTAACAAACTCATCAGAAAAGTTTTGGGAGAACATTTTCAAACTTCTGGATGAGCAATTGGGACATATTAGATTCTTACATTGCAAGAATTTTTTTTCTATCAGAAAACAAAAGATAACCCTCTCATGCAGAAAATGAGCTTGAGCCCACAAATTGATTTGAATGGTTTATCATTTCTCTAATCTCCTGAAAGACCTATCCGCTATGCCTGTGTAAGTATTGTAAACCAAATAAAATTAGCATTTTTCTCAGAATTCCCCAAGATAGGAGAATCCCACAAGAGTCATTCAGAAATAAATATGCATTGAACAAATATGTGATAATATCAGTAATTTTCTGTTTTCCTATAATCCCTTAGCAGAAAACTATAATCACACAGCACAAGATCACATGGAAGTATGCCGTTGTCATGAGTGAGGACAGGCAAATTCCCTAAAGGACATTAAACAACTCTATTATCGAACCTGATATATCTTTTACCAGGAAAAAAAAAAGCACAATGCCAAAATATGCTAGTTATATACTCAATGTTTTGTTTGCAAAATTACTTACATTACCCTATTTTTGTTCAACTCTAAAGAGCAATTTCTCCCTAATTACAACTGTCTCTTCTCTAGGAAGAAATTTATGCATAATATATATTATAGCAACATTTTCTGCATGAGTGGTACTTCAGCAATTTGACTTTGGTGAAAATAGAAAGAGAGCTCTTTCTCCCTTCAGAACAGCAGCAAGAATACACAACGAGCTCTAAGTGAGGAAGACATCGACTTCTCCTAACATCAGAGAAATGCCTGAAAGGAATTCTTGTTCCACAAGAGATGGCTAAAACATTATGCTCACAGTCACCTTTTCAGCCTCAATCTGCAAAGGAGAGTCAAAGTTTAAAGATACCATTTTCTAGTCAAAACAAAAATAAAATGTCCCAATATTCTTATCATACAATCCATGAACAGTTGTAGGATATGATTTGTAAATATTTGAGTTTCATAAATGGAAATTGCAGCCACTGCATCTTGGCATATTATTGCCAGTAACATCTCCTTACTATGTATACCACTCAAAAGCTAGAATGAACTTCAGTTCACATCTAGCCTTCTTGAATATGAAGTATTCAGCCTCCTCAGTTACCATCAGATAAGGAGGCTCTTGCAGAAACAGTTGAAAATCAGGCAGCAGTGCAGTGGCTGGAATTGAACTGGCAGGGCTGCTTATTGAGCGTGGTGCCTCGTTCCAGTCACTGCCTCTGTTCCTTTCTCTAGGATGTTCAGCCCATTCGATGGAATACCACTGTTTGATGTCAATAAATCTTGATTTCAGGTGGTAAAATTATCCATGGAAGTATATCTTAAACACATCACGATAGAATTGGTGTCCTCCCTTACACGATGTAGGCAAGAATGTGATTCCTTTTCTTAATAAAATTTGGTCAGTTTGGACTATTCCCTCTCCCTAGACATAGTTGGCAAGTACATTGAAAATACTTATTTTAACTCAACCATAGCCACAGAGAAATATATCACCAACCAAACCAAAGATATCCTGTTTAAATCAAAGGAAACTAGGCTGCTCAGGATCCTGATGGCTGTAAGCAAAACATGGACCATAAATCCGTCATGCTAAGCACTAGTTTTTATTGCTACCATGGCTGCATAAAATTGGCTAGAACCAACATTGCTGTGAAACCATAAACCAACAAAAGCTTTACTTTTAGCGTCAGAATCTCTCCAAGAATATCAGGCACTGTCCTTTGGTTAAAGCACTTTCAATACATTTTGGAAACATTTCTGATGGGATCCTTCGGCTATAATTACTTTTCTTCCTCTCTGAATTTGAATCATTCTACTCTGACCATTTAGATCCTCTCCAGAAATTACCATTGACCCTTGTGACCTTGCTTCTCAGCTATATCCTACTAGAAAAGCCTATGAGAAAATCCAGAATTTCGGAGTTTTGAAAATTGTAATGGAGACCGTAGTGCCTGAAATCTCTCTACTGCCTCTCTCGTCTTAGTTTAAACTCACTGTTTATTCCAAAGTGAGAGAGGAAAACATATTCATTGAGAACTTGTTACAATGTTTAGAAGACTAAAATTCCCTGAAATCCAAATTAAGGATTTCTTCCCTGAGGTTTGGGGCAGCTCTAGCAACAAATTTTCATGTATTAATGGTGTTTACGTTTATGACAAGTTATTTTTCGATGTAAAATATGGTTTGTGAACTGCATTTTTAATTTAGCTGCTCCTACATGTTAGTTTTAATTTATCTGATAGAATGCAGGTTTAGAAGCATAAAATGAAATCACTTTTAAAGTAGACTGTAATTGAGACATCCATTAAGTTAGACTACGTTTCCCTTGCTTTTTCTAAGTCAGTGATGTTTTAATTTATTTCAATGGAAAATTATTTGTGCTGGGTAGCTAACAACAGTCCAAGTGTCTCATAGTAAGATATTTACTTGTCTTAACCTTTCTTTGCAATTGTTAGGGTCCTTGTCATTTTGACTTCCTTTCAGCTAGTGACCTCTGCCCTGTCCCAATTTAAAGATAAACTAAAAGACATTTCCCCTGGATGCGTGTTTCTTCTAGTTTTTTCAGTGGAAGCAGTAGGCTCTAGTTGTCTAACCAATTACCTCCTATTTGAAAGGACTTGTGGGGTGTGTAATTGTGTATTGGGAGAAGGAAGTATAGGAAAAAATAAACAAGAAAAAATGATGTGTCAACTCTAAGAAGTGAGCCCAGAATTCAACATCAAAATAAGAAAAGGAAAACTATGAGAGATAATAAATAAGAAGCCCTTCGTGAGTTAGCTTTTATCAGCAATATTGTGGGCACACGTGATAATATTTCAAAAACAGTTGATTTAAATATGTGTCTGGAATTGGAGTTAAGCAAATCATCTTTTATACAATTGCATATTATTCATAAAGTTTGTTTACAAATACACTAGAAATGGAGCACTCATGATTTAGAATTTTACAGAAAAAACATTTCCTGTGTCACTGGTAGCTTTATACAATAGCATTTTCCCTCCACCTTTTCTTGCTCTCTGAGAATATGATTCTTGGTGTTGCTTTTGAAGTCTTAGTGTTTATTCCACCTTGTTGATAACAAACTAAGGGAATTAATAATAGATTAATATCTAAATAATGGCTAGAAAAAGAGAGAGAATTACTCTAAATACCTTACATACATACATACCTACACACATAAGGGGGGTGTGTGCATGTATACATAGACAAGCTCATGTATATTGTCATTTTTATTCAATTTTCAAGTTATATAGGCTGTTTGTGGGGTTTCCATGTTTTCAGTTAGCTTATGAAGGGAAATCTGATAGCCAAGTCATTCCTTCACACATTACGTTATGGAGAAAGTCTATAAAGTGAAAAGAATATCTAGCCAGACTTTATAGTAGATATGGGAGAAATTTACTGGGTTAGGACTAAAACAATCTTTATTACAGGAGACCGCACCTCAACTTATAATGGAGGAAACCATCTCCTTTGGGAGAAAACATGATAAAATATGTACATCTAAAAGCTGTGAAACCTGAAGAAATATACAGCTTCCCCCCTCCCTCCCTTTCTGCATTCCTTTTCATTTGGAGTCAGACTATCTTAGGCCATTAATTAACCTTCAGGCCCTTGAGGTCACCTCCTTGGATCTGTTCTCTATATATCTAAAAGTTTTATTTCTCAGTGAATATTAGAGATACATGAATATTGACTATGTTGCCAAAATAAAGATGTATTATATCTGCTAAAATGCCTTGAGTTGTAAACATGAAAAAAACCACAACGTTCGCTAAAGTAATTTTGAATAGCACAGGTGTTAATTAGCCCAGTATAGAAATTTCTTTCTCATCAATGGGAGTTCTAAGATAGTATCAATTATAACTTAAAAATATTGTCATAATTAAGTCTTACATCTTTGAATATCTGTTGTCTCAAGAATTTTAAACTATTCTGTGGTTTTACACACAAATATACATAAAGGGTACCAGCATGACCATTGTGTTGAGTGGAAGATTTATTTAAATTATATCTATTTAAAGCAATTGAGCTAGGACTACTTACTGGCTCATACATTGAAAAGCTTACTGCCTGTACTGGAAAATGTGTTGACTTAGGAAATGCGTCTACACAGAAATAACATTAACAAAGCTAAATTAAGAATTTTGATGGGATTGGAAAGCATAAATGTTCTTTAACTGTTTATATTAAATCACAGGGTGTTTGAAAAATTTAATCTTTAACAGTTATTTTATAAACATATGAACTCCAAAAGTACTTCTATATCTGTACCTATCATATAGACTTAACATCTTTTATTTAATAATCATTTAAATATGTGATTTTTCTTTCACATACCAGATTATAAGCTTATTGGAGCCAGGCAGGATCGTACCCAACGCTTAAAACAATGACCTGCATATTATGGTTGCATGATAAGTAATTGACAAATAAAGAAATGAAGATTTAAAGTGGCTTAGTTAATGTTAGTTTATGAGTATTTTTACGTATAAAGGAGAGAGAATTCCACCCTTTCTTTTAAACTTAGTGTTTTCCTATAATTATGAATAGGAGAGAGGAACCAATTTTGTATAAATGTTGGTAGACAGAGTTTAAACTGCACAATCCACTGGGCAGGTTAAGGATATCTAAGCTGACTGTGAAGAAGTTGTCCCATGTTAAGTGTTTACGTTTGTTTTTCTTGTATATACTAAGAGGCAAAGGGAATGAACATATATTGTAAATCAAAAATGAATTTAGTAAGTAAAGTAAATCTCACATTGAGTATGAAAAGTAAGCATTGGAGAGCTGGGGATCCCATAAATGACATTTTGCAATGCCTTCTAAGCCAGGACCACTGAGCTTTATGAACTAGTGTTAAATAGAAGAATGAAAAGTTTGTAAGGAATTTATTTAGTATGAAGAGCAAAAGCAGGGCCACAAGGGTGAAGCCGTTCATACAATAACTTCCTGATTCGTTTTCGTTTTTCACTTTTGACTTTTCTTTCTACAAGTGCTAGCACATCCTTATCAAAATAATTGGGAGAAGTAAGAAAGATTTGGTTGAAAATTTAACATGGTAATAAATGGCTTTCTGATTTGAAGATGAAGGAGCTATATTTTGAAGTTATTCAATAGTCTGTGAGTCAGATCTGAGTGTCCTTTACAACATTACCACAAATTGGCTGTGAGACTCCAAGCCATCTCTCAACCTCTCTGTATTTGGCTTGGGGTTGAAATCGGAGCTCTACCATTTTCCAGATGTATGACTTTAGGCAACTTTTCACTACACTGAAGCCTCCATTTCTTCTTCTGTACGTAAGAGATGATGATGAAGTGATATAATGTACGTAAATTTCCGGGACACAGTGTTTGACATTTAATTAACTCTCGGTATAATACTACCTTTATTGTTGTTGTTGTTATTATTTTACATCCCTGCCAATAATAAAATTTTGTCATTCTGCACTATTTTGATATTGCTTTCTGTAAAACTTTAAATATTGGCACATACTATTTTGCATATATTTTGTAACTAACTTAGATTATTTTCACTCATGAGGAATATCAAAAACTTTCTCAGCATCGAATGTGCTCCTCCCATCTCCCCCACTTTAGGTGGAAATGTATTTGTCAATTCTGGTTCAAAAATAATTAAACAAGGGCCAGCCTGGTAGTGTAGTAGTTAAGTTCAGGTGCCCAGGATTCATGAGTCCAGATCCCCAGCACAGACCTATGCACTGCTCATCAAGCCATGCTGAGGCAGCATCCCACATACAAAATAGAGGAATATTGGCACAGATGTTAGCTCAGTGGCAATCCTCCTCAAGCAAAAAGGAAGATTGGCAACAAATGTTAGCCAGTCTTCTTCACCAAAAAAGAAAAAAGTAAATCAGCATTCACTTGACCTTTTTACAAAGCATTCAACAAGCCTTTTATTTTTAACCTGTTAGAATTTTGAAAAAAATCATATGAAAGTAAAAGAAAAAAAAAAGAAATTTTGAAAATAAAATGGACATTCAACATTGGTCTACTTGCTCGATAGCTGTCAACAAAAGTGCAAATATTTATCATCTTTATATGTCAGGTTTGGTTGCATATGTACACATACATATATAGACACATATACACACATACATACATATGTTAATGTGTATAAATATATACGTATCAGATTACTTTATAAGCTAACTGTCCTTTGGGGTGGAAATTAAGATTCCCAAGCCATTGAAGAATAAGCAATCCATATTAGTTTTCAGGACCTTAATCTTATGCTTAAAGTTAAGACAGGCATCATTTGAAAATTGGATACCTTACTCAAAGGAAAAGCACAATTATTAATGCATAGCTCAAAAGCGACCTTTAAGTCATCTAAAATATCCATTGCTGTGTTAATCAAGGTCCTTTCAATAACTTAGAATAGGGATAAAAGATCTTAGTTGCCAAAAAAATTTATCAAAATTGTTTTTCTGATGCTCATGAGTTAGTTATTGCTACTTTCTTATTTTAGAGTAAATAAAGCTTGAAAATTTAAAAAAGTTCCATAATCATAGGCAACAAAAGTATAAATAGTCAAATGGGACTACATCAAACTTAACAACTTCTGTGCAGCAAAGGAAATAATCAACAAAATGAAAAGGCAATCTACGTACAGAATGGGAGAAAATATTTTTAAATCATATACCCAATAAGGGATTAACATCCAAAATATATGAAGAACTCCTACAACTCAGCAACAAAAAAACAAATAACTTGATTAAAAAATGGGCAAAGGATTTGAATAGACATTTCTCCAAAGAATTATACAAATGGCCAAGAAACATATGAAAAGACGCTCAACATACTAATCATAGGAGAAATGCAAATCAAAACCACCTGAGATGTCCCCTCATACCGGATAGAATGGCCACTATCAAAACAAACAAACAAACAGAAAGTAACAAATGCTGGCAAGGATGTGGAGAAATTGGAACCCTTGTACACTGTTAGTAGGAATGTAAAATCATGCATCCACTATGAAAAACAATATGGAGGTTCCTCAAAAAAAAAACAATTATCATATGATCCAGCAATCCCACTTCTTGGTATATATCCCCCCAAATTGGAAACAGGATCTCAAAGAGATAGTAGTACACTCATGTTCATTGCAGCATTATTCACAATAACCAAGAGAAACATGAACCCTACATTTCCATCAATGGATGAATGGATATGGGAAAAATATATATATATATGTATGTACACACACACAGAGTGGAATATTATTCAACCCTAAAAAAGTTGGAAATCCTGTCAGATGCTACAACATGGATGAATCTTGAGGACATTATGCTAAGTGAAATAAGCCAGTAACAAAGGATAAATACTGCGTTATTCCATGTATAGAAGGTATCTAAAATAGTAAAACTCATGGAAACAGAAAGTAGAAGGTAGTTACCAGGGGCTGGGAGGAAGGGGGAAATGGGAAGTTGTTCAATGGGTATAGCGTTTCAGTTTTACAAGATGAAAAAACCCTAGAGATCTATCGTATAACAATGTGCATAGAGTTAACACTACTATACTGTACACTTTAAAAATGGTTAAGCTGTTAAATTTTATGTTGTTTTTTCTTATCACAATAAAAAGTTCCATAAATGGAAGTATATTAACATAAATTACACTTAGAAGACTCAACCCGCATATCTTGACTCACATTTTGATAACTACAGCTTGTAACAAGTAGAGCTGAAATATAATTAAAAATTTGATTTCTGCCTGCAATATCCTCCCATTTTAATGAATGAGTGAAAAAATCCAAAAGCCCTTTCAATGTTCCTAAAAGGAATAGGCAGTCTCTTTGATAAATCATCTCCATTGTCATCAAACAAACAAAAAATATGAACTATTATAATTATCAGTGGAGGCTATTTCTCAGAGTAACTCAGGGTGCAACAGAGCTACACAACCGTAGTGCGAGAACCTCAGGATCCTCCTCCCATTATTCAGTCTTTCGGAGGTCCAGCAACAAGATGCCAAACCCTCTGCTGAACTCTGAATTCTACTCCCAGGTAGCAGTGGTTATTGGAAAGAACACGGACAACTGATGTGGGTTTTGATCATATTTCAGCAACTTAGAAGCTGCAAGATTTTGATCAAGACCTATACAGATTTTGTGCTTTATATGCATTTTTACCATGGTGGCACAAATGACACTGTAGCTTCTTCATTTATTTACCTGTGCATTTCTCTAAGAGACTGTAAATTTAGGGGTCCATTTGGCAACCTCATTTATCTTGGTGTTCTATGGTCATCTTCTCAGCCCCTGGCATAAGTCCCAGGCACAAGTAATTGTTCGGTATACATTTGTTGACTTGGTTTGAACCATTACGGTTTATTAGGCTGAACTTCAATTAAAAAAAAAAAAAAGAATAGAGGGCTGGCCCGGTGGCGTGGTGGTTAACTTCACATGCTCCACTTCAGTGGCCCAGGATTCACAAGTTCGGATCCTAAGAGCGTATCTACATGCTGTTCATCAGGCCATGCTGTGGTGGCATCCCATATACAAAATAGAGGAAGATTGGCACAGATGTTGGCTCAGCGATGGCCTTCCTCCAGCAAAAGGAGGAGGATTGACAACAGATGTTAGCTCAGGGCCAATCTTCCTCACCAAAAAAAAAAAAAAAAGATGAGGGACATTTACCAGTTTACACCATAGTCACAAACTCATAAGTGTACATGAAATAAAATTTTAGGCTGATGTGTAAAGGAAATTTGGATTAATGTTTGCTACAAGCCAAATTAATTAATAAGTTTATAAACACTCGACACAGCTTGCTTTTTGCTAAATATCTGTTTTAAAGTACATAGTTACCTTCACTATACTTATTTTTTGTAAAAAAAAAGAAACAAACACAAAAAATGGAATTTTACAAGGGTTACATTTTCTAGAAGAAACCAGGTTGTACCATTTTAATTGTGAATTAACTGTCACCTTATTACTAATTTCATTTCAAACCTCAGTCATGTTATACTTTATAACATTTTCAATATAACATCAATACTGAAAAACAGAGCTTTATGAAAAATTTCTGCCATAAGTTTATTTTCTGTACAGACTATGGGTGTTTCTCAATATTAACTATATTCTTTGTTAAGTTAGCAAAGTGAATTTTCTTGGATGGATACTACTTCATTCTAAAATCAATGTGTTGTAGTGTGCATGTGCCCTTAGGAAAATCACACTCTAAACCTACATTTAAAAGAAAATAAAAATAAAAAATCACATATAAAGAACTATAGAATACGATAAGGAACCAAAGTAGATATAATGATTGAAGATTTAAGTACAATCAGACTGAAGAAGTGATGATAGAATAGCATCAGAAGAATAAAAACACAGCTTTCACTTTGTTGGTGATGTTACCTTGTCCTTACACAAGACTAAATCCATGCAGCTCATAGGTCCGCAACAAGACTTACACTTTGAATGGATGGTGGTAGCCATATTAACTATGAGGTCTTTATAAATGTCTGTATTATGAATGTAAATTATCTTTTAAGAATTATGTTGGTGAAGAGAATTTACATATTTAGGTTTTAATTTCCTTTTACCACTTAAGTTGTTTTTAATTAAAAAACGATCAAAGGTAAGAATCTTATTTGCAAATTCTATCAAAGTGAAATCTGCAATAATTCTCTTGAAAATTCCCAATCTATTGAAAATAACAGATCTATTAGTTTTAGAACAATGCTATTTCCTTTGAGACTGTCATTTATTCAGTCTAGGTCCTATGGTTTGTTCCCCAGATGTCAGAGGGCAGGAGCTGTACCTGGGCACCTAGCACAGTCGCGCATACTGACTAGATGCCCAGTGTGATTGACTGAACTCTCTCAGTACATTATTAAGTCCACACATAAATCCCTCTTCAAATTCAAATGTTGCATGTGTCTAAATTAGTTAAGAATCTCAAATCTGGGACATCTAATTTTAAAATGTCGATATTCAAATAAGTTTATCATGTTGGACAAGTCACTTTGACTCATGGAAGTTGCTGTTAATTCAGCTGGAAATTTAGGCAGAAGTCCTCATTGGAAATCAGTTTCCTAAGTTGCAGAATGTATGTTTTAATCTTCTATTTCTTTTCAAATTTTCTTCACTAATTTTAAAGCTTGAAAAATATCAGCAATATAATAGTGACTTAAATATGATTAAAGAGAATTTTAAAAATTTGAACATATCAATTAAAAAAGGAAAAATTTAAAAATATCTTTGACCTTGAAACAAAGACTAAAATATTGGGAACAATTCTTAAAGAGACAAACTGTGTTAACCATTGTCCTTGCTACAAAAACAAAACTAAACTAAAATATTCTCATCTAAAATATCTAATGAAATATTTTCTTCTTCAACAATAAATTCACTGAAAGATTTAGAGATTTGGCAAGATGAAGAAAATCACGTTAAATATATAAATGAACCAAAAAAGGAGGCTTGATTTAAAATGACAGTTTGTCAGCTAAGTTGGGATTAAAATGATTCAATGATAGTTGTTTTGAGTTTCTACTAACAAAGTAGACACAAACTAACTAACAATTTCATATTATATTAGTATGATAATATTCTGAACATTCTATTAAACCACAAAGAGCAACAGTTCTTCTTCATATTCTCAATATTTCTTTTTCACCTTCCAAAGGCCAAAATGTCATCATTTTTTTTTTTGTAAAATAAAATCAAAGCCAAATGGCAAAAATGCAAAGATTTGCTTAAACAAACAGTCAGAATTTCAGTGGTTTTATCTGCAGCATGCCCA